TTTTTATCAAAAGACCAAAATGACCGTCTGTTAAGCAGCTGCTAGAAAGTAAACTGGACTTTTGTTGTAGCTCTTCCAACTCCCCAATTCTATAAGACCAGAACACGTCTGGGACTACATTTGGACACCGATCAGAAAGTAGTGCTTTGTAATAACACAAATTTTGCTATTGATCCAATACAATACTAGTACTGCCAATACTGATGCTTTCAACCTATAAAGGCAGCTTATGTAGGAGAGAGCAGTGTCTCATGATTTATGAGCTTAATCATCACTAATTGAAACATTGTGAACACATTTTACTGGACACTAAATCATTGTGATTTTTATTTTGTACAATAATGAGTTAACAAAACACACCTTTTGGGTTTTCATGTATTCTGAAACTGGATTATTTTGGAGACATGGACCCGTAAACGTGTCTGTCTCTAAAGGACTTTGGGTCGCTGTGCTGTAAGCTAACAATAAAATAGATGTGTAGTCAACACAAAAAGGTTCAGACATGTTTCATACTGCATGTTCAAAGGTTTTTTTCATTTCCAAGAAAAAAAATTATTCAACACTATTAATTAGCCTAGTAACAAAGTAACAATCCTATCACACAAGAATTGATCCGATACAAATACCGGTGGTATCCATACCATCGATATTTAGTTGGATCCGCCTACCTCTACCACAAAGTCCATGGTTAGGTGATAATTCGATGGATACTTGAGTGGATACTATCTTTCAGGTGAAGCTGCTTATCCAGAAGCTTTCAGCCGGGGAAACTAAAGATCATCAAAAAGAGAAAGACCCAGACACGAAGGATCGAAACCACTCAAAGGTACGGCACACATTTCATATTTTAAAATCTGTTCCAGATTTTTCCTCAAGCTTTTAGTCCTGAGTTTTAGAACTGCAGCCAGTGCTCGATAGGCAGCTGATTTGTTGGAAACGTGGAAACTCAAGTCTCAAACATGTCTTATTGTTTCAAAATAAAATCCTTTTTAACATTTTCTGATGCTTTTAATATGAAAGAGTTGTGGTTTGTGTTAGCAGCTAGGTAACTGTGTTTTGGTTTTGGTTCTTTTTAGCTGTGAAAGCTAACAAGTAGGAAGCTGAAGACCATGAAATATTATCATAGCTTTTAACAAGCAGTGCTGTGACTGCAACTCCAAACGTAAAGCTTTTGCCCCATCACTACTGTTGTTGCTTTGTTCCCCTCATCCTCTTTTTCCTTCTTTCTTATTATTCCCAGAAGGATGAATCCTCTCGTTTACATTTATTTGTTTGCATCATTGTTGTCATGGAGTTTGTTTAAACAGAATTATGTGTGCCACTTGCAACAAGCATGAGTGGAGGCAGGTTGGGACCCCTTTAAGGGAGGTCAGGTCTTGCCTACTGTCACTGTAAACTTTTCACATTACTGCTGATGTAGTTTAAAATGTGTCAGCCCTTTGGGTACCCCCTAATGGCCTGGAGAGAGGGACCAAAAAAAAAGTAAAAACAGTTTGATCATGTCTCATATGTATTCATAGCAGGTATGATTCCTGTTTCCTGGCATTGTTATATTTACAAATGTGTTGTTTTTGTTGTAACTGTAGTGGATATAAGGCTGGATCCGGGCACAGGGAAGCAAGTGAGAGCCAGAGAAGAGAAGCAGAAAGCTCCAGAGGCTTAGACGTAATTCAGCAATCTGCTTGGGCTCAGCAGCCTGATCCATGTGAAATCTTACTGGGAGGTGGAGGTTAGCAACACGAGCATCTGGGTGTAATAAAAGCCAGCACAAGCCGTAAGGAGAACCTCTCACAAAACCCCAAAAATGATTCCTGGGTGATCACAAAAAGATGACAAAGTCTGCACAGTCCTCACAGAACCACCTGCTTCCTTTGCCCAAAGGAAAACCTCACAAACGTTGGAGTTTTTGTGGATTACAAGGAAGGTTTTGTGTCATTCTACGAACCACAGAGTGTTTGTTTACTGGGGAACTTCACGCCTATTTCAGTTTGCATATTAAAGAAGATGGTGCCACTGCTTACCATCAGTAACTATGCATGGGTGTTTGTGTATATGTGCCGTTCTTATTATTATATTTTTTCTTTAAGTGCCGTGTTTGGTAGCATATGCGCAGGTTCTGCCCGGGTGTTAATGGTAAATCATTCAGTCCCAGTCTGCTGTCATGTATAAGCCTAGCTGTTGCTTTTGTTTCATGAAAAATAAATAAACTCATCTATCTCTCTGTCTCTCTCTTCCTTATCATCCAGTGAGGAGGATATGACAATTACAGAGTGCAGCTACTACACTTTTATTAGTGTTCAGCATGAAAAGCATGAAAAAAAAGCCCTGCGTGCTAAATGAGGAGTGTCTTTTGCGCCCCACCTTCTCCTTTACAATTTACTGTCTAAAAGTATCAAATACATTAAATGCCCACCTAATCGTTCTAACTGATGTCATGTAAAAGATCGCACCAGGATTCCCGTCAGTTTTAAACTTTGATTTTTTTTGGGGGGGATTATAATATTGGTAAAAAACAATCCACTTCTAACCACGAAAAAAAGTGTCGGCATGAAAAACTAATTAACTGATTAAACTCATTATGACTTCACCTTGACTGCCTGTCTTACACATTAAACGGCTTTTATTAGAAGCTTGTTTTAATATGTATTGTGCTACTGTTGTAATGTAAGCTACGTTAAATACTGTTGTAAAAAAAAGTCAGTTAAAAATATTCAAAATATCAGGAACAGGAAGATGTCAGCTGTGTTTGTATTTGTTTTCTGTCGTTATTCTTTCTTTTTTTCCTTTTTTTTCTCATGACGTTTGTGTGTTTGTTTCTTTTCCGTGACGTTTCCAGTAACCGAGTATTTCGTAGTGACGTGTCGCAACTCCTTACAGTTGAATTTAAAGGGCTGGTTTCGGGATTAATATGGAAAAAACGAAACTGAAACTGAACCAGAGAGGAGCAAAGTTTGGAGACAGCAGCAGATCGCACAGCCGAGGATCGAGACATTGCGAGATAAGAAGGAGCAGGTAGGCTGCTCAGCACTTTGGTTTTTCTTTTTTGGAAAAGTCTCATGACAAAATAACCTGACAGTCTCACTAACACTCCCTCTCGTGCCTGCATGAGTGAAGGAGAATCAGATAATATTAAAATATTACGACTTTGTATATATCGCGAGTGATGGGAGAAGGGAGCCGGAGATCGACAGACGGATTGGGGCTGCAGCTGCAGTAATGCAGACGCTGCACCGGTCCGTCGTGGTGAAGAGGGAGCTGAGTGTAAAAGCGAAGCTCTCAATTTACCACTCGATCTACGTCCCTACCCTCACCTATGGCCACGAGCTGTGGGTAGTGACCGAAAGAACGAGATCGCGGATACAAGCGGCGGAAATGAGCTTCCTCCTCAGAGTAGAGCCGCTGCTGCTCCCCATCGAAAGGAGTCAGCTGAGGTGGTTCGGGCATCTGACAAGGATGCCTCCTAGGTGAGGTGTTCCGGGCATGTCCCACCGGGAGGAGGCCCCGGGGCAGACCCAGGACACGCTGGAGAGATTATATCTCTCGGCTGGCCGGGGAACGCCTTGGTGTCCCATAAGCTGGAGGAGGTGGCTGGGGAGAGGGAGGTCTGGGCTTCTCTGCTTAGGCTGCTGCCCCCGCGACCCGGCCCTGGATAAAGCGGATGAAGATGGATAGACTTTGTATAATATTATATATTATATGTATTTTATTTTGTGTAGATGCTGTGAAGTAATCTTGTAAGTGAATTAAAATCTGACAAGTTGATCGTTAACTGGTAGTTTGCAGAGTGCAGCACACAACGTTATATAGACACAAAGTTAACTCCAGTTAATTACATGTCGATCGTTTGAAGATAAGGAAGCTGTTACTGCGGGGTGTGTGCACAAACTACTTTTTTCCACTAGGCTGCTTTTCTTTCCATGGCAGGAGTAAACAAATCCAACCTGAAATACAAATACTACTCTTGGAGAGTCCTTTTAGCTCCTTCTAGTCCAGAGCAGGTGTCATGGTGTGAGTGTTTGTGCTGTGCAAAGGAAAATGTCATTTCCTCCTTCCTCACGCATGGTCAAACACTGAAAGATAGTTTTATGTATGGGTTTATAAAAAGAGACATGATATAACCATAAATTAATGTTTTATGATGACTTGCATCAATAAAACTAATTGCTAATTGCATTTATGTAGATCCCCGTGTTATGTACACGACCCATGTCTTTGTACATTTATATTTGACTAAACATCATGTACACTATAACCACACATACACATACATTTTTTCTCCTACACCAAGTTGATTGGAATTAGACACAAACTTATGCAACACAACTCCAAACGGTTCATGTGTAACAGTCACTGTTACACATGAACCACTGAATAGTACTTTTGTCGCACTGTATAAGGGTCTTAGATTTGAATTCAGGCTGGGGACAGTGTGGCGTTTGCATGTTCTCCCTGTGCCTGGGTGGGTATTTCCTCCCACAGTACACAGACATGTTAGGTCAATCATGTTGCATGTTGTTTAATCTTAAGCCCAGGTCACTCTTGATGTAATCACAATGTAATCTTACTGAGACAGAACGCCTGTTTTCATTTGGCTAGAGAAATAAATAAATATCTCATTAATCTCATATGGATATGTTTTTCTGATATAAGGACATCTGTGTTAGTAACTATGACAGCATTGCACCGAAAAAGCTATTTTTAACCTGAAACCCGTATTAAACCCATTAAACTACTGCACAAGTAGTTTGGTTCCTAATGTTAAGAAAAGCACAATACTTGAAATAATCTGGAAGAATACTTACATTTCCGAAAGTTTTAAACACAGCCAGTATGCAGTCTGTACCACAACTACTATGGTCACACGCAAAATAAAAATAAAAATGATAAAGCTCTCAATTTAAGTTTTATTGATAACCTGGCTATTAGAATGAAAAGAAACAGTAATAAGAAAACAGATGAACGAAAAACTTCTTGCCAGAGGATGTGGAGGTGTGGTGAAATTTAGGGAAAGATTGACATAGAGTTAAGGATGTTAAAGTAAATTAGACATCATTAAATCATACACCGCTCATTTTTGTTTTACTCGCAAATATGTTGACAATATTTTTTTACAGACACCCAACTTATCAAGATGAACGAACAGGTTTGCCACTGCGGTTGGACCAAACGTACAACTTACCACGGCTTGAGAGTTCACCAGGGAATGAAGGGATGCACGCCAAAGGGAATGAGGATCCCTCAAAGTGAACAATCCAGGTTCTCCCATAAACTGAGCTACAATGAACCTCAAATCAAAATAGAAGAGCCTTTTGAGGATTACTTCAAGAGATCTGGTGAGTGCACCGATGGTACAGCATTTGTGATGATGTAGGACCAGGAGAAATATCCTCACTAAAACTTCTGTTACCATCCCAGTTTACAGTGACTGTCTTCTTTCTCTACAGTCTTTGAGACTCCACAGCGCTCTCATCAAACTACTGAACTTCAAGATTCGAGAGCTCGTAATTTTCTGCAATCTTCTATCGGTGGACAGCAGGTACTGCATATTTCTTAAGGACGACAGAAGTATACATTATCAAACCAAAATAAAGCTCCTCATAAAGAGCACGAGGTGGCCGAAGACATAATTTTTCCAGTTTGCTAAGAATTTACAGGCCTTTTGCCTGCATTGTTCAACAGATTCATTGCTGATTTCAAAGTAAAACTATATAAACATTAGTTTCCTTCTTCATCCAAAGGTAAAGAGTATGTAACCTGAAACCCTTATTAAACCCATTCAACTACTGTACCTTTAGTATCACATTCTGAGTTTGGTTCAAAATGTTAACAAAAGCACGATACTTCAAATAATTTGGAACAACACTTACTTTTCTGACGGTTTTAAATACAGCCAGTATGCAGTTTATACCACGACTACTATGGTCACAAAAAATAAATAGAAATGATAAAGCTCTTAATTTAAGTTTTATTGATCGCCTGCCTACAAAAATGAAAAGAAATGGTAATAAGCAAACAGATGAAATAGAAACTGCTTACCAGAGGAGTGCAGAGGTGTGGTGAAATTTAGGGAAAGATAGACATAGAGTTAAGGATGTTGTTAAACTAAATTAGACACGAACTACATCCTTAAGTCATACGCTGCTCATTTTTGCTTCACTGACAAATATGTTGATAATATTCTATTGCAGACACCCAACTTATCCAACATGAACGAACAGGTTTGCCACTGCGGTTGGACCAAATATACAACTTACCACGGCTTGAGAGTTCACCAGGGAATGATGGGATGCACGCCAAAGGGAATGAGGATCCCTCAAAGCGAACAATCCAGGTTCTCCCATAAACCGAGCTACAATGAACCTCAAATCAAAACAGAAGTGCCTTTTGTGGATGACTTCAAGAGTTTTGGTGAGTGCACCGATGGCACAGCGTTTGTGCTGATGTAGGACCAGGAAAAATGTCCTCACTAAAACTTCTGTTTCCATCCCAGTTTACAGTGACAATTGATGTATTTCAGCATTTTATGTATTTTAGCAGTATAGTGACCCCAACATCACGCTTAAACCATTTATAACTGATAACAGGCATAGAACAGTTTACAGTGACAGTCTTCTTTCTCTACAGTCTTTGAGACTCCACATCGCTCTCGTCTAACTACTGAACTTGAAGATTCCAGAGCTCGCCGAGTTCTGGACTTTTCTATTGGTGGACAGCAGGTACTGAATATTTCTTAAAACACCTAGACTCCCAGAGAGCAGCCGTTTGGCTTTTCTACATTTAAAACCCGCCTACCAGCCAAATGGCTGGTAGGATTTTAGCTAATATCCTGAACTGAACTGAACTGAACTGAACTGTGAACTGCTGCTTTTGTTATGTAAAT